TGGGAGCGCTCTGCCTCCCCACTGTTTGCCTTGGCCACCACCCGGCTGGCCGAGTGCTTGGAGAAGGGCTCTTGGAGGCTTTCGTCCCCCACCCGGCTCTTGGCCGGACTCAGCAAACAGAGCACAAGTGGCACCTTGGCAGCCGGGGCTTCTCGAGCCTCCTCCCAGCTCTGCTGCCCCTATAAATCCGTCGGCTCTGGCTGGCGGAGCGACAAGACCTGCGAGTGAGGACGAGATGGACGGCAGCTCCAAAGAGGCACTGATGGAGGAGGCCCCTCCGGTAAGAAGCATCCGTGCCCCAGTCCGGGGAGCCGGTGCGGCGCTGAGCCCAGGCTCGGGGCTGCTTCCTCCGGTCACACATCCACCCTGGACCCACGGCTCACACCAGGGCTGCCCTGTCTCCCCAGAGGTACACGGCGTCCCCCCGCCTGCCCTGCATCCCCCACCAGCTCAAGTGCCTCCTCATCATCGTGGTGGTGGTCGTGCTCCTCGTGGTGGTCGTGGTGGGCTTCCTCCTGCTGGGGCTGCACATCACCGAGACGCACGCCGAAACGGTGAGGGTCTGCCGGGCGGGCGGGCTGGGTGGTGCTGGGGGGGGGGGAGCGGAGCCAAAGCTCGGCCGGGCGCAGGGACGGTTGGTGTCACTGCCATCGGCTGCAGGCTCTTTTCAGGGACGGGGTTTAGACCCAGCACAGCTGTTGCACCAGGTGCTTTCGCAGCGACGCCGTGTGCACCAGGCTCGGAGGAGCTCCCTTCCCTGCCTGCAACATGCTCTCCCGGCTGAGCCTCCCTTCGCTCCGCAGGTTTTGCGAATGACCATCCATGGCCTGGACGGCGAGGGGTCCCCCCAGCAGCTCGCCATGAGCAAGAAAGAAAGGACCGGGACGTTCGCCGTGAAGGACGGGCTGAACTCCTCCGCCATGGTCGTCTACGACTACAGCAAGGTGCGCGGCGAGGAGAGCTCGGTGGTGTGACGGGACAGGGTGTCCGGGGAGAGCTGTGCGACACGATGGGGTGGGACAGGAAAGGATGGGGCGGGTGACTGTGGCGGGCCGGGGCTGCTGCCCTGGGGCCAAGCCAACGCGGGTCTGTCTTCAAACAGCTGTTGATCAGCTACAGATCCTGGCTGCACCAAGCCTGCTACGTCACCCGCATGGACAAGGACAACATCCAGGGGCTGGACGCCGTCACCGCGGCCTTCCGGCGTCGGCAGGTGAGCGCCGGGCAGCGTCGCTCGGCACGCATGGGGCTGGGCACTGGAGACGGCATGGCACAAATGGGCCTCGGAGACCGGCAGGGCGGGCCCGGGGGGCC